GGGCAACATGGGGCCCAGCAGGTGGTGCTCCTCTTCCGTACCCTGCCCACCTCTCCCTGCATCTCACCTGCGTGGCTGGTTTTGCCCATTGGGAACTTGCCTTGTGAGTCCAGCATAGGTGACCTGTTCCTGGGCTCGTTGCAGCCAGGCCCTCCTCCCTCACTTCCTGTAGCTCATTCCACATTCTCTTTGCTGCTGTTCTGCCTTATTTCTTAGCCACCTGATGGCTTCCTCAAGACTAGGACAGAGACTTACCACACTACCGAGCCCCTAGAGCGCACAGCATCTAGTTGACAGCTTGTTGATCAGGGCCTCCGGCTGGCACTGGTCTGTTGCTGTGGGGGACACAAGGCATTGGTCCCTCCCCGACTGATTGCCAACTGGGCTACCCACCAGCCCCACCCTAGTTCCTGGTTTACAGGGTGCTGAGCCAGGCTCCCTCCAACAGGGGAGAACAGGACTGAGACACACCCTTGAGAGTTCCACTGAGAAGAACTCAGAAAGGAGTGTGGGGCTCTTTTTGTGGTGTGGTGTGGACAGTGTCACCACAGGTCTAATGGCTGGGTTGGTAGAAGCTCACAGGCAGAGGGCAGGAGGGGAAGCCAGCTCCAACCCTCACCCTGGCCCAGAGAGGACAGGTGACCCCTGTGGCGTCCTGTAGGAGGTTATCTCCCACTTCAGGGTCCTAAGGAAATGAGGCCCAGCAGCAGCCCTCTGCCCTCCCACTCCTCCATGCTGCTTTCTTTCCTTCAAACAATCCACCGAGCCTGCACCTGGCCACTTGTTCTCCACCCCGTTGCTTGTGATTCATGCCCCACTCCCACCCCCACTGTGGTGCAGCAGCTTGGCAACCTGTTCTGTGCATTTCCACTATGGTGGAACCCTCCTGTGGGTCAGTTCCTCACTCTGCCCAAAGATGGCCAAGGATTAGGACTCAGAAGAACGCTTGTCTTTGAAAGAAAACCGCTTCTCTTAAGGTCTTTTCTCTTTGTTTGGTTGGATCCCCAACCTCAGTAATGGGGATGGTGCCTGGGGCTTGGTGCACGCTAGGCAAGCGCTCTACCACTGAGCCACCCCCAGCCCTGGTCATTATTAATACCGATGGGCCACCTGTGCTACCAGGAGTCACATGCTCTGGAATGGAGACCCATCTGATTGCTTGCTCCCCAGGTGCCTGGTACACAGGTGACAAAAACAGTAAAGGGGCCGTGCTGGTCAAAAGCAAATGTGTGTGAGCGGGGGCCGGGCACAAGTGGGTGGGGCACATGAGGTAAGAGCAGGCAGGTCTCCACTGGGCGACCTTGGGCTGACTCTGAGGTCAGGATCCAGCTTCAGGAGGTTCTGAGGATGTGTCCTGCAGGCAACAGTGACTTCTCAGCCCTGTTTCCCACCCAGCAGGGACCACCTAGGTATGGCCTCTGCAGGAGCCTTCACAGGAAATGGGCTGCTGCCCAAATCTAGGGCAGTCTTGGATGAGTTCCCTCTCAGGGTCCAGCTCACATCTGTCCTGGGACTGGGTAGGAGGTGATGGTGTGGGTTTCACGCTGGCTGCCCTCCTGGGCACAGCAGTCACTTGGGCTCCACAGCTGCTCTGCCGACCCCAGCAGGTGCTGTGCCACACAGCTCGCTCAGCAGGGCTCAGGCCCGTGCTGTGTGTGCTCTGCACCTGGCTGCCAAGAGGCAGCGTGGACTTGCTCCTCGGCCGTCTGTCCTCAGGGTGGGACTCCAATTGGCCTCACTTTGGGATGGGCTCTGTCAAAGGCTTCATTTCATATCTGCTGCTGAGCAAGGTGGGGCAGTATGCTAGTCCCCCGTGGAGATGGCGTCAGCCCCTCTGGGGTTGGCTGCCCTGCGACAGGGACGTGAATAGCACCACTCCTCACGTGGAGACTAAAGGTGCGTTCTTGTAACCCATTTGTGTATGTTCTGCCCCTGCCCAGGTGCTGTCCTTCTTCCATTGCTATTGGGCCTGTAGTCAACATGAGGCAGACTCATCACTCCCACATCTTCCTTTTGGCCTTTGACCTTTCTGTCCATTTGTGCCTGTTCCTAGCCTGTGGAGCTGCGGAGAGAAGGGACTTCTCAGTCTTACAGATCCCCCCTGGTACAGACAGTGGCCATGTGAACATGGAGTTCCTGAAGACGTTGTGGGGGCCTTGGGAGGCTGAGGCCAAGAGACACATAAGAACCCACCAGCTGTGCCTTGCTCAGAACAGGTCCTCAGGCCCAGGTGCCCTCAGGAAGTGGTGGTTTGTGCCTGGTTGGCTTCAGTTCTCAATTCACTGCAGGAGCTGGCCTCACATTTCCCTGTGGGCAGCCCCAGCTCTGAGAGCGTCCTGACTTCCCACCCACAAAGGAAGCGAAACTGACCCATGAAACTCAGTGGAACGCCCCAGAACTGCTGGCAGAGGGTCTTTATTGCTAATCCTGGCCTAATCCCTAGGCCAGCCTGCCTGTGGGGTGGAGCACACTGTGCAGGGCCAGCAGTGACAGGGGGCCAGTGTCCCTCCCACTTCTTTCCTGCCTCTCCCCTAAGTCCCAGGCGCCTCCTGGAACAGGAGTCCAGCCTCCCAGTGGGCGTGGACAAGGGGATGTGCAGTCAGGTGATCTGGAAGGCTGCCTTCTGTGGAGCAGGCCTGCTCCTGGGCCCAGCAAGCAAATCCGGGAGGGTGGGTACTTCTCAAGCCTCCCCATTTCTGCTCTTGGACCATTTCCTCCTAGGTTGCTGTGGTTCCTGTTGAGATCCTCGCTGTCTCTACCTGTGTCCTGGGCCACCAAATGCTCTGCTAGGCCTCCCCTCATATAGCACACTGGGCACTACAGGGACCATCACAGCATCCCTTGCTCACATCTTGCAACATTTGGAGCCAGGGAGACTGCTAGGTGTGGACTGGCAGGTACCCCTCAGTCTTGGGGTGATAGTCACCAGTGACAGCAGATGACACCTTCCACTCTTCTGCTGTGACTGTTAGCTGCCAGAAGGACACAAGCCTGTCTCTGCTGTCCGGGTGTGTGTGCACACATACATACTTGCACACCGGGATATGGTCACATACCATTAGACCAGGACATTAAATGCACACGGTCACTTGAGTGACATCAAGCCTCCTGACAGTTGAACCACGTGGGGGTGGGGTGAGTGAGCTGTGGAAACCACCAGAAGACTCAGGCCCCCTGTGCCAGAGCCTCACTTCAGGTGGGAACAGGCTGCCAGGCCATCCCACATAAACACTGATTACTGGAAGGAGCCCATGGCTGTCCCTCCTCTCGCCTCATGCTACCCACTCGGGAAAAGCTCTGATAAGTCCTGCAGTGAGAACCCTAGTCAGTAAACAGGGCAGTTTCCGTGTGCTGTCTGCCCCTGGGCCTCCTCTGCACTGGGGCCTGCTCCCCTCTAGGCATGCCCATAGAGGATGGATGCCCTCTGGGAGATGGGGCGCCAGGCCCACTCAGTTTCCTTCCTGGAGAGGCAGGGAGCCTCTGGTGGGAGGTTGAGGCACCGCAGTAGCCCAGGAGCAGCCTCGCTGCCACCCATCAGCCCCCTACCCAGGAGGGCATCCCAGCCCTGTCATAGGGTTGTCAACGTGTCATTCAGCCATAGTTGGCCCCTGCATGCACACCTGGTGGTACACAGTGTCTCTGAGCAGGTGTCTCTAGAAATGCCGCCAATTCTGTGTGTGTTGGCATCTCTGTGCCCACAGCCAGGCCTAGCACCAGACCTAAGGTTTCCTCCTGGGGCGGGGTGGGGCTCCTCGGGGTGCGGTGAGCCTGACGTCCAGTGCCACCTGGACTGCCAGGTCTCTCCCAGCCACCTCCCAGGCACAGGAGCCCTTGGTCAGGGGGCCCTGCAGCCTGTCCTGCCCAGGTGGTGGGAGGTGGCCAACCTGTTCCATTTCTTAATCTTGTTCCAGCTGTATATAAGAGGGTCTGTGTTTGGCTTAGAGAACTGCACATTCCCTGACAGGTGCTTTGTCTTGTCCCCATCTCCCTCCTGGCTGAATAGACTGGGACTCAGGAAAGGTACAGCAAGCCTGCCTTTGTGCTGCCTGTTCACAGTGCCCTGAAGGCACTGGACAAGGAACCTCGGCAGTGCAGGGACTCAGGGGTCTCTGCCCTGCTCCCTGGGGCCCTCAAGGTTTCCAGTAGACCAGCCACCTTGTCACACAGATGTAAACCTGCACCAAGCCCTCAGTGTGCCAGCATGATTGAGGCTCTTCCCAGTTTCAGGGCTACTTTTGCAGCCAGTGGATTTTTTCATATTCAGGCACTTGGTCAGAGGGTGCGGCTGGCGGATGGTGTTCTTGTTGTGCTTACCCTCGCATTCCTGTAACTGGTTTACATCCCTGGCTGGCCACCCTTGTAGGTCATTATAGTCACAATACTGGTCAGTCCCGGAGGACCCAGGTGTGCACTCACCTTGTGAACTTCCCGGGAGCTCACAGTGTACGAGTGGGGCAGCCGCGCCTGCTCTGCAGCTCGGGAGGGTATGCCTGGGTGTCAGCTGCAGGGGTCGAGCACATGCACGTGCACCAGACCCGCTCTGGCCACCTGCCCCTCTGCCCAAGACCATTTACCTGTTGGCTGGCTCTCAACCAAATTATGAGCAGGGTTGTGGTGATTTTTGTTTGTTTTTTCACTCGATTGAAAGACACTCAAGAAAGGTGTGGGGCAAATCCGCACGGCTCCATCTGCAGGGGGTTCACGTAGGCACTTCTGGAAGTGTGTCTCCAGGGCTGTTTTCCTACACAGTGGGATCCTGCACCCCTCACCTGTAGGTCTGCCTCTCCAAGGGGAGTGTTTGGTCCTGGGTGCACCCCTGACGTCCAGTGCCACCTGGACTGCCAGGTCTCGCCCAGCCACCTTGTCAGTCTTGCCGTCGTCACCATGTTTAGGTTCCCTGTAGGCCATGGTGGCTGCAGCAGATGCGACTGGGATACACCCAGGGGTGCCTCTTCCTCCTCCTCTGCACTTCACATGGTCTCCCTCCTTTTGTCTTCCAGTTGGTCAGCGAGAAGGTCGGAGGGGCAGAGGGGACCAAGCTGGACGATGACTTCAAAGAGATGGAGAAGGTAGGAAACTGCCCAGGCTCCTCACGCTGGTCAGTGCTACTGAAAGAGGGGCCCCAGAGTGCTGCCTCACCGTGGAGCCCCAGTGGACGTGCCCACCCTGGCAGGGCTGTGACTGACAGGCCCCTGTCAATCAGGTGGACTCATAGGTAGCAGCTTCAACCCAACCCCAGGCAAGCAGCGATGGGGACAGGATGCAGCTGAGCTGATGGACAGGGTTGGGCAGGCCTGTTTTGGCCTTGGGTGCCAATGGCTGTGGAGCTCAAACACTGCCTCTCTCCACAGAAGGTGGATGTCACCAGCAAGGCAGTGGCAGAAGTGCTGGTCAGAACAATCGAGTATCTGCAGCCCAACCCAGGTAGGGCCAGCTTGCTGTCTGGGGTCTGCCCAGGCCTCCTATGTCAACAAGAATCTTAAATGAACAGAGCACAAAGAGGGACTACTGTGCCTGGGTGGGTGGGCTGCAGGCATGGCTGGATCCAGGGGTCCAAGCACCATGTTTAGGATCATGTACTTGTTTTCTACTTGAGCTGACAGCTTGCCTTCCCTTATGCTGGCTTCACTGTAGGGCAACTTCTCCGCATAACAATCTTATCCTTCAGTAACCCCACCACCACCGCCGCCAGCCAACAGGCCCTGCAGAAAAGAACATCTTTCCCCTCCTGACACACTGGAGCAGTGTACGGGGGGGTACCAATCTCCTGATCTGGCCAGGGCTCCATCCTTGGAGCATGGGGCTGACTCCTGGGCCCAGAGCAGGCAGAACCTTTCCCCTGGCTCTGCATTGGGAGGCAAGGAGCACAGATGAGCAGCAAATCCAGCAGCAGCCACTGGAGGCTAGTGCCAAGAACAGAAAGGGACAGAGATCCACAGCTGTGTCCCCCACCCCTGAGGCTGCACGTGCAGCTCCCTCCTCCCTCCTGCAGCTTTTGTTTCAAGGAGGTGCTGGGAGGAGGGAGCACTCACTTGGGGACCCGCTCTTCCTGTGCACTGCCAATTCTTTTGTGGCTGCTGGGGTGTCCAGAGGGGAGTCACACTCCTGGTGGCCTGTCTTGTGGGCGATCTTGGGAAACAGGTCTTGCACAGGTGCACTTTAGGAAGGGACAGGTGCAGGAGGAATCCCCATGGCGCCCCCCTGGCTGGTCCTGTTGCAGCCTCTCGGGCCAAGCTGACAATGCTGAACACGGTGTCCAAGATCCGGGGCCAGGTGAAGAACCCCGGCTACCCGCAGTCGGAAGGCCTCCTGGGAGAGTGCATGATCCGCCACGGGAAGGAGCTGGGCGGAGAGTCCAACTTTGGTGAGCTGCACATGCTGCCCCCTGCAGGGCAGCCCTGAGCATAGTCCCCAGGGGCACAGCTCTCAGGTCCTCTGTGCCAAGTGCCATCCTTGGGTCTGGGGATATGTGATGGCACAAAGAGCTTCCCCATGCAGGGGGCTGTCCAGACCAGTGGGGGTGGGTGGGCAGGGGTCGATTCACCCAAACCTGACCAAAGGGAGGGACACTAGGGAAGAGCCTTTGTTTGGTACCAAATTCCAATTGTCAGGATGTTGGCTGTTGAGGAGGGACCGTTCAGGAGCAGGGAGGATATCGATCCAGCAGGAAGGGCCCCTGCGACAGCTTCCCATGCCCCTCTTCTCTGCAGGTGATGCCCTGCTGGATGCAGGGGAGTCCATGAAGCGCCTGGCTGAGGTGAAGGACTCGCTGGACATAGAGGTCAAGCAGAACTTCATTGACCCGCTGCAGAACCTGTGTGACAAAGACCTGAAGGAGATCCAGGTGCTGCTGCAGCGTCCCACTGCCCAGTCCCGCCCTCAGCCCAGCCCCAGGGTCACCCTTCCACAACAACCAGGTCACATGTTGGACAATTCTCCCATCTATCCCGGGAGCCACCAGGTGACACTTGTCCCCTGCAACCTACAGCACCACCTGAAGAAGCTGGAAGGTCGCCGCCTGGACTTTGACTACAAAAAGAAGCGGCAGGGCAAGATCCCTGACGAGGAGCTGCGCCAGGCCATGGAGAAGTTTGAGGAGTCCAAGGAAGTGGCAGAGACCAGCATGCACAACCTCCTGGAGACAGACGTGCGTGGCCGTATCCCGCTGTGCCCTCCTGTGTGACCAGCTGCCCTGGGTGTCGTGGGGGTGGGGTGGCATCACAGGAGCCAGGGTAACCCCTCCTGTACCTGGCACACCCAGGCTCAGCGAAAGCTTGAGGGAGGCCACATGGCTTCAGGGGAACAGAGGGCTGCAGGCAGCAGCCTGCCCACTGCCAAAAGCGAGGAGCACTCCCCAAACCTGGGGCCCTGCTCAGGCTGCAGCATGGGGGTCAGCAGGGAGACAGCCACCATAGTGGTGTCCCTCCAGCCCTGCTGGTCCCACAGATCGAGCAGGTGAGCCAGCTCTCGGCCCTGGTGGACGCGCAGCTGGACTACCACCGACAGGCCGTGCAGATCCTGGACGAGCTGGCCGACAAGCTCAGGCGCAGGTGGGCCGCCTCGCTGTGGCGGGCATCTTCTCTGCCGGAGTCCCTCTTGTTCTCTCCCTGTCCCCGATGGCTCCCCGCCAGAGTTCCCTGAAGCCTGAGTCCCCATGCTTCCTGCAGGCCCTGGGCCCTCGTGCCCCTCTGTTGGCCATAGGGACAGCAGCCCTATGTGTGAGGCCGCCCTGGTGTGAGCAGGTTCCACAGCATGGCCCTGAGTCTGCTTCCAGAGTCTCCCAGGCTGCCTGAGTTGGGAGGGGCCACATGAGGAAGCAGGACATTATTAGGCTCATCCTGGTCCCCCTGGGAGACAGGAGGAGTGACATGAGGGTCAAGAGGTTAGAGTGCTGAGCCACCCAGTTCACCCTGAGGTCCACGGTAGCCTGCTGACCCCTCCCCACCCATGCCCTGCCTGAGGCTCACCTCTGAGGCGTGTGGTCAACTAGAGCTGGGCCGGCTTCAGGGGGCGGGACAGGACATGCAGGGCACCTGCTTCCTGGGCTGTCGGGGACCTCACAGCGTAACCCATGCATTGAACTATCTAGAAGTAGTCTGCAGCTTCTGAAGGTGCCGGGCGGGGGTGGGGGACCAGCCCAGGGCCTCTGCTTCCAGGAGCCTCTAACCAACAGTGTCCCCTGTGATGGGGCCTAGGGCATCAGCTTGGATCCGGAGTGCTGAGGCCCTCATGGCCAATGATTCCCCCCACAGGGTGCGAGACGCCTCCTCACGCCCCAAGCGGGAGTACAAGCCCAAGCCCCGGGAGCCTTTTGACCTCGGAGAGCCAGAGCAGTCCAACGGGGGCTTCCCCTGCACCACAGCCCCCAAGACCACAGGTAACAGGGAATGGAATGCTGCTCTGGGTGGCAGAGGGCTGGCCCTGTCCCAGGCCTCTGAGAGCCAAGGCCCAGGAAAACCCAAGCCCACTGTCCACCTGGACTACAGGAGGGGGTCCCCAGGGACCAGGAAATGGCCCCCCACACACACTGTGATCAGCCTCCCTCTGTTCTGTTCACAAGCAGCTTCATCGTCCTTCCGATCTTCGGACAAGCCCATCCGGACCCCCAGTAGGAGTATGCGTGAGTGTCCCCTGCTAATGGCTTCCTTGCTGATGGCTGAACTTAGCTGGCAACACTGCCTTCTGTTGTATTCCGAAGGGGTCTTTCTCCTACACATCTCCTGGGCCAGGAAGTCCTGCCTGTCCCCTGTGGGCAGTGGGGCCCAGATGGGAGCTGGTTGGACCGCCCCCACTGCCGGTGGGTCTCCAGCCCCTAGCCTCATGTGCACACCAGGGGATCAAGTGCTGAGGGCCAAGGACACCAGCCTGGCTCAAGGCTGTCTTGCCTGTACAGTGCCCTGAGTGCTCTGGCCAGTCTTTCTTCTCCATGACCCTGTGGGCATCTCCAGTGCTTCCCAGCAACACTGTGGCTGACCATTGCCAGACCTGGCTCCACGTCTTCCTCCAGCAGTCGGGGCAGGGGGGGCAGCTGAGTGGCAGGGCTACCAGGGAGAGGGGCCAGGGCTTGGTGAGAGAGAGCTGGTGAGGGCACAGTGGCCCTCACATCTCTCCTGCCCCCAGCACCCTTGGACCAGCCCAGCTGCAAGGCACTGTACGACTTTGAGCCTGAGAACGACGGGGAGCTGGGCTTCCGCGAGGGCGACCTCATCACGCTCACCAACCAGATCGACGAGAACTGGTACGAGGGCATGCTGCACGGCCAGTCGGGCTTCTTCCCCCTCAGCTACGTGGAGGTGCTCGTGCCTCTGCCGCAGTGACATGCCAAGGCCCTCCCGCCCTCCGTCCACACCAGCCGGGTCTCCTGCATTCCATTTAGCAGCTGATTCGGGCCCACCGGGCGGCCTGTCACCAGGCTGCAGGGCCAACGAGGCAGGCAGCTCTCATCCGGGCCTGCCCGTCTGCACCGGTGAGCGTGGGCCCACACTGGAGGCAGCGGGCTCCCTTCCCCACCTTCTGGCAGTCCTCCTGGGGCTGGGCTGCGTCCTTCCTTCCCTTTCATGGCCTCCTTCCCCGGCCAGCAGGCCTGAGGTGGGACTAACACTAAGGTGCTCTTAGAAACACTAATGTTCCCTGGAGGAGCAGCAATTTCCTCCCATCCTGGGGCCATCCCTGTTGTGGCTGCAGGGCCCAGCTCCTCTCCCTGTCACCTGACCTGCTGCCTTAACAGGGTGGGGTGGGACTGAGGCAAGACCCCTGGCCACCTCCCCACATCCCAGGTTTTAAATCCCCTCCCCGCCCGTTGCTGGCGATGGGCCAGGCCCCCATCCAGGGCACCCCAGAGGCCTGAAGTCCCAGAGGTGCTGTCCCTGAGCCTTGCACACATGCTACTTCCTGGAGAGCTGGGGCCTTCAGAGGCCCCTAGGCCAGGGCGTCCCTCACCTCTTAGAACCTGCTGTCAGCTCTGCTTGTGATCAGGACGAGATAGGCCTGGGTTTTCAGAGGCTGCCTGCTCAAGGACAAGCCCTCTCCCAGGAGCCCTGGGCCCACCGCTGTCTCAGGAGCCTGTCACCCTCCCAGCCAAGTCCTCAGACACTGGCTGGCTTGTACCCACCCACCCATAGCCACCCTCATGAGGCCAATGGGTCCAGCCTCCTAAAGCCCCAGCACATGGAGGGCTGTGCCCACCCTGCACACAAACAGCTCACTCGGGACCACGGCCCATCCTGCTCTGCCGGAGGTTGAGCTCGAATGCTCTGAAGACTGTCACCTCAGACCTGGCTTGCCAGCACCTGCCTTCCCTACACCAAGCCAGCGGCTGTGTCCCGAGACCCCTACCCAGACCAGCAGGATCCCAGCCCCAGCTTCCACTCCCTCTCACCTAATCCAAACTTGTCTAAATGGAGGGACCTCTGGGCTTGGCCACATTCACATTCCCTTCCCTAGGACTCCACAAAGCCCCTGGGACACCAGGCTCTGCCCTTCTCTTTTGCCCCTTTGTGACTACCACATGGGGACACGCAGTCTCTGCCAAGACGGGCGGTGCGACCTGGCTTCCCATCCAGGGTGGACTGAAATGTACGCCTAATTTTTTTAAAAAAAGAAGTATTAAATGTTTCTTTCTACAGCCCTTGGTCTCATGTTGGTGCAGGGGTAGACCTCAGCTCCTCTGTGCCGGCCAGTAAGGGGCACCCCTAGTACCAGCCCCCAGTCACTTGTGGGTGATTCTGCATCCCAAGGTGCTCTGCTGCCTAAACAGCAGCCCTCACCCATAGGTGCTGTGGAGCTGGCTGGGGAACCACTTGCATCTGTAGCTCAGTGCCCTGCCCTGCCACCCAGAGGAGGAAGCCACACTTGGAGCTGCTCAGGGGACCCAGCTTGGGCTGGCAGCTGGCTCTTGTCCACTCCATGAGACACACTGCAGGCTGCTGGCGGCTCAGTTTTTTATTATCTCACACAGGACGGGACAGCAACAGACGGAGTCCTTGAGCCAGTCCCCATAGTCACCTCTGATCTCAGGACAGCACCCTCAGCTCCCCTGCTTGAGGAGACTGTAGACCTGCTCCAGCACATGGCACAGACCTTGGTCTTTGGGTGTCCTGCTGGCCAAGGAGATCTGAAACAAGCAGGGCTGGTGGCTCAGTGCCCTGCCACCACCCAAGTGAAACACCCTGGCAGAGCCAGATCCTCAACCAAGCACACAGTGGCGTTCCTAAGTCCCAACTCGCCAAGGGGAACAGTGCACTTGACCCAGAACCAGTGGGCTGCAGGCACGATGTCCAGGTGGGGGGGGGGGGTGTCTGCCTGCCCGATCCCAGGCCACTGATGTCCAAGTGTGAATGACAGGCCACAGGCGGGCAGGAAGGTGCTTCTACACAAAGTACACCAGACAGATTCAAGTAGGAAGTAAACAGGGCACCCTCAGAAGGCGGCGGCCAGGGGCCAGCCACCAGAGAAGCCAGCTCACACACCAGCTGCCTCTGGCCTTGCTGGAGCTCAAGGCTCCAAATCAAATCAAAACCTGTGTCCCCTCTTCAGGTGGCCCTGCAGTGACACGGGGTCAGATGGAGAGGCTTCTCCAACTGGGACGTCCTGGGGGTTGCGAGGTTCAAGGGGCTTTGTGCAGGGGAGAACCAGGGCCTTGTGTGTGCTCAGCACAGCCCCTGCTGAGCTGATCCCCTGGGCTGTTCCCAATTTTATTTTCACTGTGGTCACTTTCTTGGGGTGTCTTGAGTATAGTCCTGGGTGTTCCCTATGCACAGTCCTTGGGGCTGCAGCTCCTGGGGACAGATGTGGTCTCACCTTTAGCTTGTCCAGGTAGCTGTGCTCCTGGCTCCAGGGCTCCTGGAACCTCACCAGGTCCGGGGCGCCTTTATAGAACTCCACCAGCAGCATCTGCGGGAGGGCAGGACTGAGTGCCGGCTCTCTCCCCTCCCTAGACCAAGCCAAGCAGCTGTGTCCCGAGACCCCTATCTAGACCAGCAGGATCCCAGCCCCAGCTTCCACTCCCTCTCACCTAATCCAAACTTGACTAAATGGAGGGACCTCTGGGCTTGGCCACATTCACATTCCCTTCCCCAGGACTCCACAAAGCCCCTGGGACACCAGAGAGCAGGCCTGCCCTGCTGCCTCTTCTAGCCTAGGGCCAAGGAATGGCACTCAGACCCAGCTGTGTGAAGAAGGTTAGCTTTTTTTTTTTTTAGCACATGCTGAACATGTGGTTATCAAGCCTATGACCTGGGCTGGGGCGCATCCTGGTGAGCAGCTCTGGCCTAGTGTGTGCAAGCCCTGGGCACAACCCCAAACTGCAGTTTCTCTACTTGGAGAACCAGTGGCGGGTGCAGAGGCCCAAGGCAGGAGCTAGCCAGGAACAGGGAGAGGGGCTGTGGAGGGTCTGGGGCTTGTCCTAGGATTGGCAGTCAATCTGGATGTGCTGAGTGCCTCTAGCAGGGCATCTCCCCCGTCCCTCCCACGTGGAGCTCACCATCTCGTGCAGGATGTCGTTGGTCAGGAAGCCGTCCTGCACGTAGGCCATCTCCACCTCCATGGGGATGCCGTAGTCGCTGGGCCTTTGCTGAGGGCAGTACATGCCAGTCAGAAGACCTTGCAGCCCACCCATGGCAGTGGGAACAGCAGAGGGCCTGGGGCTGGGATCCGGGGCTACGGACCATATGGGGCCTTGGTAGAGCCAGATAATGGGGCCAGAGTGGCATCCTGCCCACAGATGCCAAGAAGAGACGGAGCCCAGAATTCCCTCCAGGGATGACCTCTGACCCCTAGCGGGGCCTGGGCAGTGAAGCCAGGCAGGGCTGGGGAAGGAAGCCACCACACTAAGAGCAGCGTGCTGCACCCAGGCCCACATCAGGCCTCAGAGAAGCTCAAATAGGGTGGCTAACAGCATCTGCCGGAGGGCAGGACTGGGTGCTGGCTCCCTCCCCTCCCTAGACCAAGTCAGTGGAAGAAACAGGCCCAGAACAGAAGTGCCCTACCTTGAGCCACCAGCACACCCTCCTCGCCCTGGCACATCTGCCCACACCGACTCACACCCCCTGGCCTCCCAAGAACCCCAGCAGCCCCACCTACCTCGGGAGGAGGCATCACCCAGAAGGGTGAGATCTTGGACTCGGGTCCCGGGTTGCCAGAGTAGTACGGGGCTGGGGAAGGAGGAGGAGAGGGCTCTGGCTGGAGGCTCAGCAGGCCCAGCAGGGCGCCACTCCTCGGCCCAGGACTCACAGCACAGCAGTGCCAGGCAGGGCTGGAAGCCGTTGCTGGAGCCCTGCAGCCGCAGCTGGTAGTCCATCTGCGCGTCAATGTCCTGCAGCGAGGGCAGCGCCGGGCTGTGCGGGTGGCTGTGGTACCAGCCGACCAGGGACAGGCCTCGCAGGAACAGGCTCTGGTAGATCTGGGAAGAGGCAGCAGCAGGGTGGGGGACAGGGTGGTTCTGTTCAGTGCCTCTCTGCTCCTGCAACTAGAGTGGGCCCTCTATCTGTGGGGGACACCGGGATCCCAGGGTGCTCAAGGCCCTTGCACAGCGCAGCATCTGCACGGAACCTGTGCACACTCTCCCCTAGGCTGGGACTGTCCTGGTGGCCTGATACCTGACACAGTGTGTGTTGCTCAGAGAATGACAAGCACCAGGGTCCGCGTGCCCACGGTTCCCATCTGCCGCGGCAACTGCGGTGGGAGGCACAGAGCCCACCCCGCCCAAGAGGGACCTTCCCAGCCATGAACAAGGGGGGGCAGAGATGGACAGGGCGGCGACACGTGCCTGATCAGCGCCTGCTCACTGTCCCCTGCGGGACACTGTGACAAAGCCTCGAAGAGTGGTTGCAGAGTGCTCCGAGCAGTGCCAGGGACACACTGAGCTCCATCATGACAACAAGACTAGAGCAGCAGTAGGCATGGAGCACAGCCCGGGACCCAGGAGTCTCCCAGGTGGGTCACGAGTCCCAGGCCAGCCTGGGTCACCTAGCAAGACCCTGTCTCAAAAGAAACTGAAAAGGGCTGGGGATGTGGCCCGCGGAGGAGCACCTGCTTATCCTGCGGGAGCCCCGAGTTCCAGCCTCAGCACCACAGAAAAGGGAAAAGCACGCAGCAGCCCCATGCGAGCTAAGGGCCAGGTACCGAACTGCGTGAGACCACGACACCTCAGGTTTCACAGAAGAGAACACTGAGGGTCTGAGGGGAAGGGCTGGTAGGGTTGGCAGAGAGCCTAGGAGCCAGGGCTGGGTCCCATTTGCACATCTGCTGAGCGCTAACACTGCCAGCTGCCAGGACAAGGGCAGGACAGCTGCATTCCGCCCAGGCAGCCCCTCACCTCCTCTTCAGTGGCAGCTGCCGTGTCAGCGTCCCCAAGCCGGCTCCTGCAGGGGAAGGCTCTCAGCACCGTGAGCACTGCAGGGCGATGGGGAGAAGAGATGTTAGTCCTACTCCCAGCACCCCCTCCACCCGGCCCCAATACGCACTCTGGCTGGTGATGTCCCAGCGGCCTCCAAGGTACCCCACGACCTCACTCCTCGTCAGGTGGCTGTGGAAGTCCTGGGGAAGGGAGTAGTGGGCACTGGCTAAGGCGCTGCTCCTGCCCCCTACAGGGCCAGCCCACCCTCCTCTTCCTCCACATATTTATTGAGCAACTACCATTTACCCATAGCAGACAAGTATTGAGAATCTACTATTAACCAGAACAAACAAAGCTCCCTGCTCTTACACAGTTGCCATTTCAAAGACCCCTCCCTCCCTCTCTTCCTCATTCCTGGGTACCCCAGCCCCCTTTCCAGGCCAGGAAGCCCCTTGTCTGGACACAGGGCCAAGGAGGGAGATTAGTCACATACCAGCAGGAAGAGCACATTGCTAGAAATGGCCACATTGAACGGCTGGAACTTGTTAATAGCTGCAAAGGATGTCACTTCCACCAACGTGTGTGGGTTCCTGGAGGGGCCAAGAGTCCCACAGCCTCAGGCACCCCCAGGCTCCTCCCTCATCCCTGAAACTATCTCCCCACCCCACCCGGCCAGCCAGGGCTGCAGAGGCGCATCTGACCTGGCAGAGTCACGACTGCCCAGCATGCAGTAGCGCACAGGCGCGCGGGGCTTGTTTTCCACCCGCTTTCCTGGGGGTGTGGCCTCTGAAAAGGGGGAGGAGAGAGAAAGAAAGCATCGGAAAGCCCTCCCCAGGGCAATCTGCATACCCAGGCAGTGCAAGAAACCAAAATAAATCCATCTAGAGGCAGCCTTAAAAATCAGGCAGAAAGAGCTGGGAAATAAATGTCAACAAATCAGACAGATAGCCTTTTAAAAAAAGAGCTCAGGGGGCTGGGATTGTGGCTGAGGTAGAGCGATCACCTAGCACATGTGAGGCCCTGGGTTCAATCTCAGCACCACATAAAAATAAGTAAAATAAAGGTAGCGTGTCCAACTACAATTAAAAAATAGATATTTAAAAGAAAAATGAGCTCAGAGCCAGGCACAGTGGTGCATGCCTATAATCCTAGAGGCTCAGGAGGCTGAGACAGGAGGATCGAGGGTTTGAAGCCAGCCTTGGCAACCGGGAGATGCTAAGCAACTCAATGAGATCCTGTCTCTAAATAAAACACAAAATAAGGCTGGGGATGGGGGATGTGGCTCAGTG